TAGATCTTTCAAGCATAAGTAACTACCACATAAGTGATAATGCCGATGGCCAGATACTTGAAGCGATAACTCATATTGATTTGGTTAAGTTCGGGATTCATATTTAGTTGAGATTTTTAGTTAATAATTGGGGTAAGTTAGGAGTAAGGGTGGGTTAATAATTATTTCGGGGGTCTAGTTTTGGAATAGTGCTTGGTTGGTTGGGTCGGGGATTAGAAATCAGCACTAAATCTTTTTGGATTGCTTTTTGGAAAGCGGGACGCATGTGTTTTCAGTTGACTAGTTCGACAATGAAAGGTAAGTCCGAATTTTCTAATTCTTCTTCGATTTCTACTACTTTATAACTAGGAATTTCTTCCTGATAACAAACATCCAAGTCCGAAAATTTGCGAGCAGTTCCTTTGACGCGGGAGCCATAAGCATAAAATTGGTAAGGGTATTTACTCAGTATTTTGATAATTATTTTCTTATCCTGATTGCTCATTAATAGTTCAGCCATAATTAAAGATTTCTTAATTTTTTAATCAGTAAGTCAAGATCTTTGAGAAATTTGGGTAAAATAGGATAAACTTCTTCCATGATTTCATCTTCATAAGAATGAACCGTAATATTTCTTTTTTTCACGTAATCAAATCAACCGTTTAGATTAGAAATTAATCCTTCGCGGGCTGCCAAACGAAAAGTTTCTTTGGGACTGAACGCGTCAACTCCTCTTAAACTCAAAACTTTTTGCAGAGTTTTTCAGGCTAATTCATAACAAACTTCAAAAGCTTGGATAGTGCCAGCAATTTCTAACTTGCTTTCAGCTTCGTGGAGGGCTTCGTGAAGAAAATCACGAGTAGAAACTAATTGTTGGATATCAATTTCACCTAATATTTTTTTCTTAACCATATACAAATTTTATTTTCAAAAAAAAGCAATTAGTAATAAGAAGAATATCCCTAAGGCAATCGCAATTAAAGCTTGCTGAGTTTTTTGCCCATAGGTGATATTTTTTTCTAAAAGGTTTTTAAACTCGTGGGTTTTGGTTTCGACGGTGTTTTTTAATTGCTCTTCATAAAAACCAGTGAGGGCTTTTTGGAAGTCCGGGAGATAATCTTTTCAATTAATCATTGGCTTCGTGATTTTTAATGTAATGGTAAACTACTAGACCGGCA